TAAAAAAAAAAAAAAAAAAAAGATGTGTAATAGAAAATATTTTGGATTTTATTAACTTTTTAGCATCATTTAATTACACTAACAAGAGGAATGTCAGGCAATTTCCCAAGACAAAACAGTTTATTTTGATTAGAAGCAAAATATCTTTCGATTGAATTCCCAGAAGCGGATCGACAAAGAAAATCGACAAAACCACAAAAAAAGAAAAAGAAGAAGAAGAAGAAGTGAAAAAAAAAAGTGTACTCTTTTTGCTTCTTTCTTGTTAAGTCTTCTTGTCAGCTTTTACAAGATGCAGGAATTACCTGTTCTGTTAATTACGGGTATGTTGCATGACACTTTATTAATTAGCGACAAGAAGAGTCGGTAATTAGCTGATCACATGACTTATACAAACGCTGGTTTATCTTAAGAAGTTAATTACTGGAACATGTCAGATCAATTAAATGAAGTTATTTTGATAAAAATAAAATGGCGATCAATATTTACAAGCGTTGCGAGTACTTTTCTCATTTATAAATTATCCATCTCTAGTTTTTAATACTTAAAAAAAAAAAAAAAATGTTTATTTATCGTCTTCTAACGTTTGTAATTAACAGGTTTTTTTTTTTGGTTAAGTCCCGTTTTCTTACCGTTATATGCTGAAGGTTAGGGCCCACCTCTCATTTTTATATAATAGAGGGAAGGGCCTATAATATTTTATAGGTTAAGGTCATAATAAGTGTGGATTTTAGGCTCTAAATTTCTCAATAAGGACAAATTATATGCTCAAATATCACCTGAATTAAAGGATAGAGTATTTAAAATATTCATTAACTATACCTCAAATGTATGGTAGTGTGTGTGTGTGTGTGTGTGTGTTATGAATGTATTTTTAAAGTGATTAATTTAATTATAAAAAGGTAAAATATTAAATAAACAATTTAATTCATAACACATTATTGTGTTATCCCTATTAGTATATGTAATTATTGTTTAAAAATATAATAAAATAATAAATTATATTACTTTAATTATCCACTAGATGGCGACAAAATATTTCATCACTTCCATGTTAAAAGTGTACTGCAGACAATTCCCCCCCCCCATTATTTTTATTTAAAAAAATAATTAATTATTTTATGTACACAAAATCTTTAAAATTAATTAATTAATTTTCTTAAAATTATATTTAAAAAAAAAAATCATGAAATTTATATATAATATATGATATGTTTCCCAGTTTTCGTGCCAAGTCTTAAACAAAGGAACATATTACACAGAAGAAAAAGCGTTAATTTAGATAAATTTCACTGATTAGAAAGGAATAGAGAAAGGATTGATGAGTGCATTTACAACATTAAATTATAAGATTAACACTCGCTCAATAGAATAACCAGCGATAGTAAATTCTTTTCATTATCATGGTGGAAAATTAAAATAATACAGTATAATTTGGCGTCAACAAATTAACACTATATATATGAAGTAATTGTGCAGATTGAGTGTCCAGACCAACTGATTAAAAGTCGGTAAAGAATAAAAGAGAAAGCGTTATGCAGAGAGAGAGAGAGAGAGCTTCTTAGCTCATTGTGAAGCCGTAATTAAGTATTAGCGGCGGGGAGACTCAAGGGCTATACAAAGAGGATTATTAAACAGACGGTACTACAAAGTAATTGTTGATGTGTATTTTAATGTCCGTACTACCTTCTAACAATTAGAGGATAGATTACCTTCCTATCTTACAAATTAGTCATCCGAAACACTAATTGGCTTTGCATCGTACCTTCTCATAAACAGATAA